AAGATAATTTTAAAATAAAGAGTTAAGATGGTTTTATGAAATGGGATTAGACAAGTGGGCTAAGATGCAATGTAAGGTCCAGCTCAGATTAAAATCCAATTTGTTTATGAATACCACTGTAATAGTCTATTAAATATATCATTAAATGTCTAATTAATTGATTCATATCTTAAGGTCTTCGTGTATAGACATCATAAGTGAATGCATTGACTCGAATCGTATTCCCTCGACATTACTGTCCGCTCAGACTATATGTGATATGATATCGACAAACAATTCCGTCAATTGTATTGATATCAAGACTTTTTTCAATGAAAATCAAAATATGATTGATATGAACAGCGAGAAGACAGATGTGCTCATAAATCCTTGTAATCCTAATCCCTGTTCATCTAATCAGATATGTTTAGTCAATAATAATTGTTTATCCAATCATTGTTTGCCGTTTAGATGTGTCAGCGCCTGTCGTTTGGGTCAGTTTTTATACAATTTGTTTAAATACTAAATAAAATAATTAAATTATATTTTTAGGCGAAATATCACCTTTTTTGGTAATGTTCGGCACAGTAGTTAAGTTGTTGGATGTGGTGGATGAGTGCCACCATCTGTGCAAATGTGGACCAAAGGGGCATCTCATTGATTGTCATAAAGTTTGTGACAAAAACTTTCGTAAAGATTGTGAAGTGAATCAGAAAAATATCACTCATTTAACACAAATTACAATTAATAGCAAACAATGTGTTTGTTTTAATACAAGAATACAATGTGTTGACAGGTATTTAAAAATTATTTACATTTTAATTTTATTAACAATTTATGTTTTATTCAATTAGTGGATGTATTAGTGATTGTCTTCAAGACTATCGACCCGTTTGTGCCATCAATGGCCAGACATTTCCCAATCAATGTTATGCCAAATGCAACGGATTTTCTGATGAGGAATATGTATCAGAAAGATGTGAATCAATAGTGGATTGCGTTAAATGCACTGAAAATCAAAGGTTTAATTCACTATTAGTTTTTATTTACTCGCTATTAATTTGATTTTAAATACCATAAATAGATGTATAAAGAAAAGTCAAGTGTGTCTCACATCAGACCAGTGCCCACAATATGAATGCATATCCTCACCGATCGATTGCCAACTTTTTGGCACAAACCCTGTCTGCGATACTAATGGTCTGAATCATCAGAACTTGTGTTGGCTTTTGAAGAAACGACAAAAGTTTGCTTATTATGGCAAATGTCTGGTAATTAGATATACAGTAGTTTTCAATGCATTAAAAAAATATTTTCAAAAGTTTTCAATTCATTTCATGGATTTTGCAGTTTTATTGCTCCCATTCCGGACCCGTGTGTGCAATGAATGGCATAACGTATGCCTCGGAATGTGTTTCGCTCTCACATGCCGTTCCAGTGGACTACTATTCAAACTGCAATCACACCC